AAAAGAGAAGCAACCTGGAATTAAGGAGAAACTTGACAGTGAGAACAATTATAATAATAATAAAGTTGGAAGGGACCTTGGAGGTCATCTAGTCCAACCCCCTGCTTAGGCAGGAAATCCTATACCATTCCGGACAAATGGCTGTCCAGTCTCTTCTTAAAAACTTCCAGTGTTGGAGCATTCACAGCTTCTAGAGGCAGGTGGTTCCACTGGTTAATTGTTCTAACTGTTGGGAAGTTTCTCCTTAGTTCTAGGTTGCTTCTCTCCTTGATGAGTTTCCATCCGTTGCTTCTTGTCCTGCCTTCTGCTTTGGAGAATAGCCTGACTCCTTTAACCAGTGGAACAGCTTGCCACCAGAAATCATGGGGCGCTCTGGAGGTTTTTAAGAAGAGACTGGACAGTCACTTATCTGAGATGATCAGATATAGGTTTTCCTGCTTGAGCAGGGGGCTGGACTAGAAGACCTCCAAGGTCCCTTCCAGCTCTATTCTATTCTATTCCTTCTGATTTTTGGCTATCTTGTTTTTTCTTGCACAATTGTTTCATAGACTTGTTTCTTGGATTTTGCCCTTCTTACACATATAGCTTCTGGGCTCTGCTGATTATAGAAACCTTGATTGAGTGAAAAAAAGACCAAAGTCCCTTTTTATGGCTCTTGCGTTCCTTATTTCTCCATCCATCCCTTCTCCATTCTTTTTCTTCAGCTCAGAGGCCTCTTTCGGGAAGTGTTCAACACAAACATTTGCATGTCATAAATCAGCGTTCCTACAAAAGATAGCACTGGGTTTTTTTTTACTGTTTTTTTCTTCTTCTTCTTCAGCCGGCTATCAAAAATAAAATTGCAGAAATGCTTTTATTTATGTTTCCTACCTTTTGATTATTTTTAACGAATAATTCAAGTCGGCAAACATATCCAGCACGCTTTCCTCTATATTCTTCATAACAACAACCCTGTGGGGTGGGGTGGGTGGACTTCCACTCCCAGAATTCCCCAGCAGCCTGCTTTAAGATGGGTGGACTTCAATTCCCAGAATTCCCCAGCCAGCCTGCTTTAAGATGGGTGGACTTCCACTCCCAGAATTCCCCAGCCAGCATGCCTTAAGATAGCAGGACTTCCACTCCCAGATATCAACTATCTTCAAGCATGCTGGCTGGGGAATTCTGGGAGTGGAAGTCCACCCCTTTTAAAGTTGCCAAGACTGAGAAATACTATGGATTGGCATTCTGAGAACTCCTGTATCTGTTGGAAAATCTCTCTTGCCACGCACAACGTCCGGAGTTGTGCATCCATTTATAAATCCATTCACCATTTGGGATGGGTTTTCCAGTGGGAATCTTTTTTGGGGACTTTCCCGAAATTTGGAGCAAGCTTTTTCTCTTACCGGAAGGAGGAAATTACAAGCCGTTTGATATTTGGGATTGCTAAACACGTTACAACACGTCCCCAAACTTAATCCTTCGTTGGCACTGGTGTCCGTGCGAGCAACCGGCGTTCCTTTCTTCCGGCAGTGGCTGGAGGCTGTGTGTATTTCTGGGTGTTATGGAGATCCCCTCTTCCCAACTGAGGCAGCCTTTGTTCCATACTGGATGAGAAGCATCTTGTCCCCGGTCAGGAGATCATCATCTGATAATGAGCAACAAAGATGATCAGGGGACCGGAGGCTAAAACATACAAGGAACGGCTGCTGGAATTGGGTCTGTCTAGTTTAACGAAGAGAAGGACGAGGGGGGACAGGATAGCAGTGATCCAGTATCTCAGGGGCTGCCCCAAAGAAGAGGGAGTCACGCTGTTCTCCAAAGCGCCTGAAGGCAGGACAAGAAGCAACGGATGGAAACTGATCAAGGAGAGAAACAACTTGGAATTAAGGAAGAATTTCCTGACAGTGTGGACAATTAATCAGTGGAACTCCTTGCCTCCAGAAGCTGTGAATGTTCCAACACTGGAAGTTTTTAAGAAGAGACTGGACAGCCACTTGTCTGAAATTGTACAGGTTTTCCTGCCTGAGCAGGGGGTTGGACTAGATGACCTCCAAGGTCCCTTCCAACTTTATTATTATTATAATTGGGTATGTCTAGTTTAATGAAGAGACAGATCAGGGGTGACATGAAAACAGTTTCCCAATATCTCAGGGGCTGCCCTAAAGAAGAGGGAGTCAAGCTATTCTCCAAAGCGCCTGAAGGCAGGACAAGAAGCCATGGATGGAAACTGATCAAGGAGAGAAGCAACCTGGAACTAAGGAGAAACTTCCTGACAGTGAGAACAATTAACCTGTGGAACAACCTGCCTCCAGAAGTGGTGAATGCTCCAATACTGGAAGTTTTTAAGAAGAGACTGGACAGCCATTTGTCTAAAATGGTATACGGTTTCCTGCCTGAGCAGGGGTTAGACTAGATGACCTCCAAGGTCCCTTCCAATTTTACCACTATTATTATTATTATTACCTCCAAGGTCCCGTCCAACTTTATTATTATAATTATTGTTGTTATTATTGTCCAGTTT